ATGTATACATTATGAAAGGATTTCCACCCATCTAGGTAACTAACACATCCATCACCTCATATATATAACTTTTTTTTATGGCGAGAACAATTAAGTTCTCCTCTCTTAGCAAATTTCAGTTATATAATATGGTGTTATCAATTATAGCCACCATGTTTTACATTAGATCCTCAGAACTTATTCATCTTATTGCTGAAAGTTTGCACTCTGTTACCAATCTCTCCCTATTTCCTCCCCTGCCCCAGCCCCTGGAAAGCACTTTCCTACTCTGTGTCTATGAGTTTGACATTTTTTCTTATTTTTTAGATTCCACATATAAGTGACATCATGTGGTATTTGTCCTTCTCCCTGTGGGTTATTTCACTTTATATACCATATCTTTATTCAGTCATTTGTTGATGGACACTTAGGTTCTTTCTATATTTTGGCTGTTGTGAATAATGCTTCAACATGGGTGTACAGATATCTCTTCAATTTTCTGTTTTCATTTCCTTTGAATATATACCCCAAAGTGGGGTTGCTGGATCACATAGTAGCTCTATTTTTAGTTTTTTAAGGAACCTCCATACTGTTTTCCATAGTGGCTGCACCAATTTACATTCCCACCAACACTGTAGGAGGGTCCCCTTTTCTTGACACCCTCTTCAGCATTTATTATTTGTAAACTTTTTGACAATAGTCATTCTTACTGGTATGATGTGATAACTCATCATAGTTTTATCTGCATTTATTTCTCTGATAAGTATCAATGACGAGCGTCTTTTCATGTGCCTATTGGCCATCTGTATGTCTTCTCTGGAGAAATGTCTATTTAGGTCTTCTGTTTATATTTTGATTGTTTTTGTTGTTGTTATTGAGTACAATCTGTAACTTTAAGTGGAGAGGGCAAAGGCATAGAGTTGTGTTCTATTAGTTAGGGTACACATTCGGCTACTGTTAACAAAGGCAAAACAAAACACAGTAACTTAAATAAGATACAGTGTTTTTCTCTTTTGCATAAAAATCTGAGCAAAACCTTCCAGGGCTGATATAGCAGCTCCATAGTGTCACCTTCGAGCTCCTTGGATATTGTTTTGTCTTCCTCAACGCCTGACTTCCTTCTTATCATCTAAGATGACAACTTTGCCCCCAACATTATGCCCACGTTCTGGCAAGCTGGGAAGAGGAGAAGGGAAAGTGGAAGGCATGCCCCTTCCCTTTAGGGGCACAACCTAGAAGTTACCCATGTCACTTTTGCTTACATCCCATTGGCCAAAACTTAGTAACCTAGCCACTCTTGCTGTGATGGAAGTTGGCAAATGTAGTTATTCCCTGAGGGCCATGTACCCAGCTAATTGTGAGAGTTCTTTTACTAAAGAAGCAAGAGGAAGGTGGGTATTAGGGGACAACGAGAAGTCTCTGCCACAGTCCACGCCTTCATCACTTAAAGAGTTCTGCACGACTACTCTTCTCACTAGTTTTAACAGTCAGGATTCAGCCAAGGAAGCACACCTCCATAAGACTCTACTTTTACGGGGGGAATACAATAGCATTTTGGCTTTCCAGGAATTAGCATCAGTTCAGAGCTAGAGTCCAGTAATCCCTGAAAATTTTGGTTATTTTCCCTTCCCGCAGTACATACTCACATTCATCAGTGGCTACAGGCTACTGGCAGAGAAAGAGTGATTACAAGAGCCTGCTTGAAGCATTGGTAGACAAGTTGGACAAGCTGGATAAGGGGGACAGCAGAGAAGCTAAGCATGTCTGGCTGCCAGATAGGAATGTGAGGAAGGCTCTCAGAAAGGGTCATGAGAAGCAATTGCGTCTGGACAGCTACTACCTCTGGGGGTCTGCAGCCAAGTGTCTGGTGGTGGGCCTGAGGTTGCTGGTGGTCAGCAGGGCTAGCAGTTGGGAAAAACAAGCTGGATGCAGAGTGGAGGCTGAGGACACGCGGTCTTCCAGGAAACTGTGTTCCTTACCTTTCGGTAATAATCTGGGAGTATTGGCTGCCACTTCACTCCTGCTTTCTTTCTTTTTTTTAAAATTTATTTTATTTATTTATTATTTTTGGCTGCGTTGGGTCTTCGTCACTGTGCACGGGCTCTCTCCAGTTGAGGTGAGTGGGGCCCACTCCTCGCTGCGGCACGCGGGCCTCCCACTGCAGTGGCTCCCCTCGTTGCGGAGCACGGGCTCCAGGTGCGCGGGCTTAGCCGGTCTGTGGCACGCGGGATCTTCCTGGACCAGGGCTCGAACCCGCGCCCTGCATGGCAGGAGGACTCCTAACCACTGCACCACCAGGGAAGCCCCCACTGCTGCTTTCTAAATATCTTACAAGGTCCTCTTGGTTATCTCTAACCAGGAACCATATAGGGCAGAGGATTTGGGGAAACATAATTTCCACTCCGGTTTACCTAGTCTGTTAGTGCTCCAAACTCAGGGAGAGCCAAATATATGTATGTAGCGCAAAGTTCAGGGTCTCTAGGTGGAGTGCAGTCTTGCTACTTATTGCTCATGATTCCCTGATTTACACCCCAGCTTCCCTCGGCTCCATGCACACCATGCAACAGTAGGGCAGTATCTTGTAACAGGATACGGGGGATCACAGGGGAGATTGGCATCTGACTTCTCAAGAGCAACTTTGGAAGCTAGAAGATGATGTAAAATGTTTTCAGAATTCTGAGAGGAGATTTATTATTTCTAGCAAAGGCAGAGTAACTGGTTCCAGACTGGTTCTAGATGGAGAAGCTGGCTCCCTCCCACTATAGATAAATAGAAAATTGGACAAAATATATGAAACAACTATTTTCAGACATCGGTAACAGGAAGTGGGTTTTGGAGATGATAAACATCCCAAAATGTGTGGCATAGCTTGGAGAAGGTAGAACTGTTCAGCTCAAAACTGGCAATTATATTCCCTTGAAAACACGGTATTAGAATTACAGGCTATATCAAAGAAAGCAAAAACAATATTGTCCCAGGCTTTGAAAGCAACCATTTTACTAAAGAGGTACCATGGCATAACAGGGGTCATCAGCTTTCAGATTCTGGTTTGCTGTATTGGGGTGGTCACCATTAAGTTATCACCACATATATCAGGTTTCATTTTGTCAGTACCTCACTTGTGAATTGATTAGGATACAGTTCTGGCTGCTATAGTTAAGACAGAAATAACAATGATTTAAACAAGATAAAAATTTATTTCTCTGTCACATAACAGTCCATGCATTAAGCAGTAGAAGACTGATAAGATGATTCCACAGAGTAGGGGACTTTGGCTCCTCCTATCTTATTGCTCTGCTATTTTCAACATGGGGCTCCTATCTCACGAGTTAAGATGGTTGCTCCAGCACCCACCAGTATGTCTTCTTTCAGGAAGGAGGGAAGAGGAAATGGAAGGCATGCCTCTACTCTTTAAGGGCACAATTCTTACATTCCATAAAGCACACCTTAATCACATGTCCACACCTTGTTGTTAGGGAGGGTGGATAGTGCAGCCTTTAGCTGGGTGGCCATGTGCTCAGCTAAAGCTCAGGAGCTCTTTTACTAAAGAAAGGAGTGGAGAATAGATATTATGGAACAAGTAGTTTCTGCCACAACTGCCATACAAGAAAATAACTTCTATAAGACAAAACAGATAGGATCTAAGGAGAATCACTCCAAAGGGTAAAAATGGGAGGAAGGAAAAGAAAAAAAGAAAAAAGAAAAGCAGGTTTCCTGGGTAGGAAATGAGCCCATCCTTAGATACCTAAGTGAGAAATCCTGTGAAACTGATATAAATTTTTATATTGTGTGTCATGCAAGTTCCTGCTTACATTTTAAAATTCCATTGTGTCACCTCTCAGCTATCCTTAAACAGTTTGTATCTCTTTTGGCATTTGCCATGTTGTAAGACATTCTGTGTCATTCCTAGCTTTGTTAACTGTCTCAAGGTGACTCTGTACGAGAAGCAAAATAGTTAAGAGAGAGCCCCTGATGCTATCGTATATATTAGGTGAGAGGACCTGATGTCTGAGATTTGCTTCAGAATACTCCAGCAAAAAATAAGCAGGGGGAATAGATGAAACAAGATTGACAAAATGTTGATTTGTTTAAGCTGTGTGATGGGTGCCTGGGTGATCATAAGACTATTTTCTCTCTTTTGTGTCTGTTAAAAACTGTCCATAATAAAACAAAAGTCCAGTCCCTGAAGACAGCCAGACCTGGGTTCAAACCCTAGTTTCACTACTTACTAGCTGAGTGGCTTTTCCTCTCTATAAATTCAGTTTCTTAAAATGGGAAATGTATAGGCCAATAGGGTTCTTGTAAAGATTAAAAGAGACAAAATTTGAGGCATCTAACAAGGTCTAGCCCTTAGTAGTTGTATTAATAAGCGTGCCGACTTGAAAGCAACAGAAACTGACTTTGGTTATGGCTAATCCCTCTGACACGCAGATGTTAGTATATGCAGAAGAGGTAGGGCTTGAGCTGGGATCTCTGATTTCTAGACCTAGAGCGTTTTCTATGTTACCACATTTGTCCAAAACCTTACCTTGGTTTGGCGCTTTGCAACTTACGCCTTCAAACTTACAGGATCTTAGTTTGGGTACCTGCCTGGAACTTAGGACACTCGAGACTGTAGAGTGGCCCTGGGCTGAGGGGTGGTCAAGGGGCGGAGTTACCTCACTGACGTTCGCTGGGCCACTGCGTGTAGGGTTGCTAAGTGGAAGCTGGCGCAATACGGGCTTTACCCCAAGCAGGCGCGGATCAACCGCCGCCAGAACACACGCGTGTCCTCCCTGCCTCGCTCATTGCCGGGATAGTGTCGCGCCGGCAGCCCCAAGCTGGCTCCTGGCGGGCCGCTCGGCCAGCCTCCCCCGCGGCCCAGCACGCGCTTGCCCAGCATCCAGGCTCCCGGCTCCCGCGGTTGGGCGAGTCCCGCTCCCGGTCCCTCCCTTCCCGCAGTAAGGGGCGGGGCCACGGATCCCAGGCTCGTGATTGGCCGAATTCTAGGCGCTCCCTTTCTCCGACTCCTTCCGCGGGGTGAGAGGTCAGCGGAGCTCCGGTCTGCAGGGGCAACAATGGCGGGGCTTTGGGTCGGGGAGGCAGCGCTGGTCACAGCAGGACGGCGTGGACGGCGGTGGCCGCAGCCACTGTTGCGGAGCGCGGCGCTATGGACCCTGAAGGTGAGGAGCGCCGGGACTCCCCGTGGGCCTGGGCCTCATTGGGCTCCCAGCCCCGCACCGCCAGGCGGTGGCTAGTGCTGCGTAGAGCGCTCCGTAGGTGTCCGGGCGACATTCGGCGCCGGGTTCCGCGTCGGACCGCGCCCCTAACTCCCTCTCCCTCCGGAGTTCGCCTTGGAGCGGGGCAGAGCCGGCGTCCTTCGCCCCAGCTGTTACTCGGAGTATCATGGAGGGCCGAGCGGCCCAAGGAGCCTGTAGGCGTGAGTTTTCTGCTTTCTCGGGAGCGGCTGACAGCCACCTGGTTGTAATGTACGTGCATTTCCCGTGCTCCCGCTCTTGGGCCATGAGGTTTTGGCTTGTCTTGAGCTTTCCAGGTGTATTTTTAAGGGTCCTTATCGTTTCCATTTTCTCTTGCCTCCTTCCTGCTTTGAAGGGACACTAAATTGCTCAAGTAGAGTTAGGGTTTTGAGTTTGTCTCACCTTTTAAAGTATCATAAGATGTCAGGATTGCTACTACCTTTGCTTGAGTTGAGAGCCTATTTTAATTGTATTATATCATATTATATACTGTATATGCATCTTGTGAGTTTTTCTCTTCTCTGTAGTGGTTAGCCTGATGTTTGTGCTCTTCTAAACACATCTCTGCACTGTATGTTCTAGGGTTTTCATGGTGGTAGCCTTGACTTATATGTTGGAGTGTTTGTGTGTGGCTCTTAACACTTTTTCTCTTCAACATGGAGTCTCTTGTAATTTCTAAACGAAGACTACCTAACTTACTTTATTAACAGAGTTTAAGTCACTTGAACAAATTATTTAAAGTAAAGGTTTCTCTGAAAACCATATGTTATCTTCCTTTTAAAATAACAGGCACGTAACTTGATTTATTGTCATTTAACTTTTAGAATTGGAAGACACGTTAGAGATGATTTGGCGCATCCTACTCTTAAAGAGGAGGGAGCTTAGTCCCAGGTGAGAAATGTTCAGCTACAGCTGAACATGGAAGTGAAAGTAAGTCTGCAGGTGCATTAGCTTAGTGTCAGCTTTAGAATGCCCACTCTCAAAAAACCCGAAGTTTCTGTGGGCACACAATTTATTGTTTCTTAATCTTTAGTGTTCTTTCATCTTTTAATCTTTTTTGGCCACATCACTTGCAGTTGCAAAACTCTGAATGCATTTATTGATGTGTAGGAGGCAGCATGGTGTGGTGGGAAGGCATGGGCTTGGAGTCACACAGATGAAGTTTGGTATATTAAATAAGTCATCTCTTTGGGCCTCCACTTCTTCCTTTCAGCTGTTTTTTTTTTTTTTTTTTCCAGCAAGTCTTTCTCTACTTCCTGTGTTCCATCTCTATGAAATGAATATAATTTCTCTTTTAGAAATTTTAGTCTGTTAAGGAGACAGACAAGTGTAAAATGCTATTAGGGGAGAGGTCCTAGTGCTGTATAGAAGAAAATAAAATGGAGGGATTTGACCAAGTCTAGATTTTGAGCTTTGTGTCCTAGATACTGTTCTGGCGCTCTACTTGAATTAATTTATTCAATCCTCACAACAGCCATATAATCCCCATTTACAGATGAAGAAATTGAGGCACAGTTTTATGTGACTTGCTCAAACCATGCCTAAGGTAAGGGAGTTTTCCTTTGGAAGTGAAAATTGAAACAAGTTTTGAAGGACAAAGTGACTTTTTTCTAGGCAAAGAGAGAAGAAAGAGGTGAACGTTATATGTGAGAGAGCAGCACGTACAAAAGTCCTGGGCCAGAGGGCATGACAAGGTAGGAGAACTGAGAAAAGCCTACTGAGGCTCTGGTATTGAGATTAGATGGTGCTGGGGAGGTAGGTAGGAGTCAGACCATGCTGGGCCTTGCTGTAGGCCGTGCTTGGTTTTATGGGAAACCATTCATGTTGGAGTTGGGAGGGATTATTACACTGACATATTTTAGTGTGGAGAGGCTGAGAGAGAAGGAAGTTGTTACTCTGTTTACTGCTGTACACTTATTGTACAACATATAAACTGATTTTTCTTACCCAGTTTCTTCCTTTTAATGTGTTGGCAGAGCCTGCATCTTGTCTATTTCTGTTTTCTTTCTTTTTAAAAAAATATTTATTTATTTATTTGGCTGCACCGAGTCTTAGTTTTTCTCTTTTGCTACTGTTTTACAAAAGATGCAGTGATAGTTTACATCTCATTGGTTGCTATTAATCTGGCACTTAGTGAAAGTTATAGTGTGTAAGAACAGTTCTATGGCAGTGGGATGGTTAGGTTTCCTAGAAGCAGAGCCTGAAGAGGGATTTTGTGCAGGTGGTAGTAGTTGAGAAGAATGAAGAAAGCAGGCTAGAGCAGGGGAAAAGAATCTAAGCAAGGAAGGGGCTCCAGATGGAAACTAGATTCAGTTTCATCCCACAGGGGAGCCCTGGAGCAGTGGTTCTCAAAGCAGGGGACTCCAGCCAGCGGCGACAGCAGCGACAGCAGCATTACCTGGGTACTTGCTAGGAATGCACATCTTCTAGCTCTACCCTAGACCTGCCAAGTTTGAAAATCTGGGGTTAGAGCCCAGCCATCTGTTTTAACAAGCCCTTCTCCAGGTGATACTGATGCACAGTTAGGTTTGAGAAGCATTGTTCTAGTTCAGCCCTGTGCAATAAACATAAAATGTGAGCTGCAAATGTAATTTAATATTTTCTAGCACATTAAAAATTTTTTTAAAAGGTTAAATATTAATGTACTTTATTTAACCCAGTATATTTAAAATATTTCAATATGTTAATGTAAAAAATTAACAAGGTTTTTTTGGTTGTTTGTTTTTGGTATTAAGTCTTCAAATCTGGTGTGTATTATACACTTGGAGCACATTGGAATTTGGACTGGCATATTTCAAGTGCTCAGAAGCTGCCTGTGGCTAGTGGCTGCCATATTGGACAGCCAGCACTAAAGCACAGATTGCAATACTAAATTGGACCCACCTTGAGATGAGGGGCGGGGGCAGCCTTTTGAACCCTGTGTGAGTCAGTCATTGGCTGTGGGCTGGGAGGGATGTAGCTCCCAGGCTTGATGGAGAACTCCTGTCTAGGTGAGGCAAATGGGGCAAACTAGGGAGCAGGTGTGAGCCATGAGTAGGATACATGTACAGAGTACATCCAGAGTACACCAACTGGGGGCCTTCACCGCCTGGTGAACAGGTTCTGGATGTACACCAACATCTGCTACAGGTGGGGTGGGAGGAATGGCCTGGTTGGGGAGCTGTAGTGGAATGAGGAAGTTTTAAAGTTGATGTATATAGTTCTCTGGTGTTCCAGCTTTTACTATGGAGGCAGAGCTGGAGAATCTTGAGTTTTATTCCCCCAGTTTTATTGAGAAGTAATTGACATGAGTCTTGAGATTTGATCATCTCTCTCAAATGTTACGTATTCAGCCTAGCTTGTAACAGAAGGTCTTGGCAGACAGTTGAAGATTGGGATGGCAAGTGAGGTCCTGAAGGCTAAATAGTCAATGTCTGTGAAGGAAAAGCTGTGCTTAAGTGAAAAAGCCTGACTTCCGGCAGTGTTTTTAAAGGGTTTTTTTTCTGGTCACTGTGGTTCTGTTAAAATGCTGAAAGAAATATTTGGCTGGTGCGTCCCAGCTCTGTGTCGTGAAATGTGAAAGAGAGGACCTTCGCCTGGAAGTTTTGAAGGTGAAGCACTATCAAATATTTACTTTTACTTGGTAAGAGCATGTTATGGCTCCATTAATCCACAATTTTGAGGATGGTTTCTTTGAAGCATTGGTTGGCCAATAAGTTTGTTCGGGGTTTTCTGTAACATAGTAAAACCCGAATGAACTTTTTGGCCAACCCCAATAGCATGCATCCTGATAATGAATTAACCTGTCAACAGAATTGTTTTAGTATTATACACCTGAATGCCGCTGTGGTTATGTTAAGAGGAATACTTTTGGTTTGGCAGGATTAGTGTTTAAGTTCTTCTTTAAACATGAGTCTAGTGGATTTACCAGTTTGGGCTGCCACCTGAGGCCACATCCAGAATGTGAAAGTAGGTGGTCTCCTAGTTAGAAAAGGGCAGTCCTTGTTGGCAGTGGCCGGAAGGCATGTGAACAGTTTGTGTACAAGCTGTACCCCTTTTTTTGGTTAACAGTTATTGTATGCTTACTTCAACATATGCAAAACTGTGCTAGGCATTTTACACATTCTCATTTAATCCTCATGGCAGCCTTATGTCCTAGATAAGTAGTTTTTATGCCCAGTTTATATGTGAGGAAAATTATGTTTAAGAAATGTCAGAGCCAGCATTTGAACCGGGGTCTGAATCTGAGTCTAGATCACAGCTCTTATATTATTACTTTTATGGGAACTCCGAAATGGCCTGGTTTTATTTATTCATTTATTTGTTTGTTTGTTTTTTTATGGCTGCGTTGGGTCTTCATTGCTGCCTGTGGGCTTTCTGTAGTTGCGGTGAGCGGGGGCTATTCTTCGTTGCAGTGTGTGGGCTTCACATTGGCTCTAGGCGCGTGGGCTTCAGTAGTTGTGGCTCGCGGGCTCTAGAGCACAGGCTCAGTAGTTGTGGCGCACGGGCTTAGTTGCTCCACGGCATGTGGGATCCTCCTGGACCAGGGCTTGAACCCGTGTCCCCTGCATTGGCAGGCGGATTCTTAACTGCTGTGCCACCAGGGAATCCCTGGCCTGGTATAATTTTGAGAAAGAAAGCTACAGCTGCATAATTGGATTTAGTTTTTGTGTAATATCTTCCATTTTCTTGGCGCTTTACCATTTATAAAGGCTTGATTTTTTTTTTTTTCCAACAGCCCTGTAGGAAAGCAAGGGAGGTGTCATCTAGTACATTTTATAGATGGAAGCTGGAGTCCAGAGAAATTATGTGCTCAATGTTTCATACCTGTGAAGCAGTGGAGCTAAGAGTTGATCCAGGTCTTGTGGCTCTGAAGGTCGTGCTACTTCCCACGTGCCACATTGTTAGCTGGCATTTCTTTTCTAAGTGTGGAAAATATTGGAAATCTTTATTCTTGCAGAAGAGAACCAATGCAGTACATTATTGGGAAGTCATTTTGCATACACTGACCTTTCTCCTTTTGGCTGTCATAGGCTAAATAGTCTTTATAAATAGAGTTGATTAAAGTTTCTCCTTTGAACACACTTGTTCTAGGAAGTATCTTAAAAGAATTTTGGACTGAGCTTGTAGCTAGTTTTTTATATGCTTAAGAAAAATAACATTAAAAATGCTATGTAGAGGTCCAAATTAGCAGAGTTCTACTAACTTGTCCTTTGTATTAAAAAAAAAAATTATGTTGTAGCTCTACAAAATTATCTGATTTTTGACTTGTGTTCTTTATAACTTTGAACTTCCATGAAGGTCTGCCAGGAGTAAACAGGAACACAAGAGAGCCGTTGTGGGGCTGACTGCAAACCAGTTTGGACTTGCTATGGGAATGGCCCAAACTCTTGTTTTCCCTCAGTAGTTTGTTCTGATTGCTCGTACCGTTTCTACTTCTAGTTTCTTGGCTAACTAGGGGCATCTATGTTTTTTTAATTTTGGGGCCACATTATCACAAATTCATATGTGTACAAGCTGTATGCTTTCTTTTTTTGATAATGGTGGTAAAATATAATCTGTTAGATCTTCAGAACCAACTATTTAAAAATAGTAATAAAAAGATTTAAAAAACCCCAATTTGATCAGTTAGGTGTAGTGCTAGTTCTTCTACATTTTGGTCAGGTGTAATTTGTAAGAGTTAATTTAGTTTTAAGAACTGTGTGGTATAGACATTTTTGAGTTTTATGTTATTGGTAGTTTCCTGAAAGTAAATGTGTATTACATTGAGTCAGCTGACCCAAACATTTCTCAGAGCTTGAATTGTTCTAGGTTAGAAACTGTTCTGTTGGGACCAAGTTTAGCTTAGTCCATTTTTCATGAGACCATCTGATGAGATAGAGTCCTGAGGTTTTTATTCCCAAAGGTATTCTAGAAACTTAATTCATATTTATTCAAATCTCTGAAATTAGCTCTATTTCCACCGAATAGCTCAGCGTTTGTTGCTCTCGGACCAGTTCAGCAGTGAGATCCGTGTCACCATCCTCTTGGCCCACATGTTCAGTTTGGATTAACTGCATATTCTTCATAATTGTCCGATGCTTGCACATGTTAGAATCTCTGTACTAAGCTCTTGTTTTTTGAATAATAGTGGTGTAGGTTAGTAGGGACCTTAGAGAAAACTCATCTGAGCTTTCATTTCTCAGTAGAGGGTGGAGGAGTTAAAGTGGTTTGCTCAAGTCCTAGAAATAATGTCAGCTGAGCTAGGGTTAGAACTCAGGTTCCTTGGTTTCTTCTCCCAGAGTTCTTTTCCAGGCGGTATTCTGGGACGTGTTCCCTTCCCCAGACATAAACATCGCTGTTTATTCTCTCTCTCCAAAGCTAATTAGAATACCTAAAATGTCTACCCCAGATTGTGTTTTGTCTCTGGAAGACTCACATTTGGTTTTTGCCATCAGGAATCAGTTACGCCCTTTATTTGTTAGTGACTAAAGACACATGTATGATTTTGCCTTTTGTAAAAGGATATGTTGACATGTTCCTACAACAGAACATTATGTGCCTTATGATATTAGAAAAAATTTGTAAAACTGTAAACTGTTTTGTTTCATTTTATAAAATTGATAGGAAGCTGGTATGCTATTTACTTTCTTGTGTAAATATCCTAGCGCTACCTTGCAGCGGAATAAATGTGAGAAATTCCCAGGTAGGTTTTGCTTTTCTTGATATTTAGAGTTTGCTTTCTGCATTGGCTGAGGCTGTAAACACAAGATATGATTTTTAGGGGAGGGAGTATTATATTTGTCCTATTAAGTTTGATATGAGAGTAAAGTTCGCAGATTATAGCTACTCTGCTGAGGGCAGTGGAAGACTGAATTTTTATTTGAACACATAGGAGTGGTGAGACCCCCTTGGTAGATTGTTTTTTACCCCAAATCATATCTTTGCACAGATGTTATTGTTAATGTGGGAAGTGCCACTATTTGTATTATCTCAAAATAAAAAACTTCAGAATGCTTTTAATAGATCTGTGCTTAAATCTTGTTACTCTTGCAGCCTAGCCCTTGTGACTTGAAAACTTAAAATTCTTGAGACTCAGTTTTCTCATTTTTAAAATTGGGACTAATACTCTTGAACTCACAGGGATGCTTGCATGACTATGAGAGTGAGTTTTGTTCTGTGAAAGAGACACAGTAATAAAGTCAATTTTCCCATTCTCAGTTCATTGTTCATCATCATTCCTTTTTACTTGGTAATGTAGGTTTTGTTTTGTAAAGTGTATCTTTCGTATCTACTGCATTTACTTTTGCATAAAGATTACATTTTGTAATTTGGGGCTATATATTTCTAAAAAATAACTATACATCTTTTTCATTTTAAAATGTTATAAAAATTTTTTGCTTCGTATTTGAGTTATGATATTAGAAAATTCTCCGACGTAGTACCTGTTGCCTTTTGCCCCTGTCCACCCACCCCCCTTTTTTTTGGCTGCGCTGGATCTTGGTTGCTGCTTGCGGGGTCTTTAGTTGCAGCGAGCTGGGGCTACTCTTCCTTGAGATGTGTGGGCTTCTCATTGCGGTGGCTTCTCTTTGTGCGGAGCATGGGCTCTAGGCGTGCGGTTTCAGTAGTCGCAGCACATGGGCTCAGTAGTTGCGGCTCACGGGCTCTAGAGCACAGGCTCAGTAGTTGTGGCGCACGGTGCCCCTCAGCACGTGGGATCTTCCCGGACCAGGAATCAAACCTGTGTCCCCTGCATTGACAGGTAGATTCTTAACCACTGGACCACCAGGGAAGTCCCCCACCGCCTTTTTTTTTCTTGGTCTACCTTCATCAGTGACTACTGGCTAAATTATTTTCTTAAACTTTGGCTATAACCTTTATTAGTGATTATTCTTAATGTTTTAAAGGCTTAAGATATACTTTTTTTTTTTTGCGGTACGCGGGCCTCTCACTGTTGTGGCCTCTCCCGTTGCGGAGCACAGGCTCTGGACGCACAGGGTCCGGATGCACAGGCTCAGCGGCAGTGGCTCACGGGCCCAGCCGCTCCACGGCATGTGGGATCTTCCCAGACCGGGGCACGAACCCGTGTCCCCTGTATCGGCAGGCGGACTCTCAACCACTGCGCCACCAGGGAAGCCCCCAAGATATACTTTTTCCACAAACATTTATGGTAATGAATTAGAAGTGAACTTGATTATTAGTATTATCTTTTCATTTTTATTTGCCAAACCACGTTTTTACCAGAATAAGTAAAATAAGAAATCATGTTTAAGACATTAGCAAATAAAAAATAATATTTTGTTATTTTCTGGCCGCTGTTAAAATTGAAGCTCTTTGAATGCCAAGTCACTTGTTTTATGTTGTATAAAGTTCTGCATGGTATGTGACATTCTGATCCTGCCATATCAGTCTGCATGATCAGAAAGACCTTTCTTCTAATTTTACTTGACCCATTGGCTCTTATTATACTTTTCTGGAGATTGTTTTGATGCCTTTGGTTTCCTCATGTGTGCCAAGGGGATGTGTCTAGTTATGATTTACCTTCTATAGTTATGGTATGTTGCTTAGAACTACATATATTGATTGATGAAACACTGTAGCTAGAAGCATACTGGAAGAATTACCCTGAAAAATATTTACTTGAAAATAAACTTGAAAATGAATGAACTTGAAAAATAAAGTTCATTCAAGTATCTGTAGTTTATTTCACTTTCTTTTTTTTCTTTTGATAGCATGTTCCACATTATTCAAGACAGCATTTAGTGGTGTCTCGTAGTCTCTGTTCAGTGGGATATGATTCTAATGAAAAAGTAAGTATTTAAAAAATACTTTTAACAGTTAAGTTATAATGGTTTTACTTTGTTGTCTCCACGTTATGTTCACTGGGCATATTAAATTTTATTGATGCTGTGTAATTATTTATTGCTCTACATCATAGGTTTTATAAGTGCTCAGTCTTTGTTCCTTTTTTCATTGTGGGCCACAACCTGAGTCTTTAAATTTTGTATTTTTACCTATACCACAAATCGAATAAATTTACAATGTGTTTCCCTTGTTTTCAGCAGGATCACTAATACAACATTCTTTCTGAGACTAGGCAGTTGAGAGATTTTGATTAAACTATTGGGTTTTTTTTTTCATTTACTTAATATTTGTAAGATTCATTTTGAATGAAGGCAATTATGGGTATTGTAAATTTTGGGACAGGGAAATTCCAGTTAAAATCTTGATACATGATAATGTTTGAGGCTTGTAAGAGGAGAGATAAAGGAACTAGAAGTGGTGATTGGAGGTAAAACATGATTTGGTGACAATAAAGGCATCAAAGAAGGCAGAAGAAGAGTTTTGGTTAAGATGAGATGGTTCAAGTTGAATGTCATTAAAGTAGAACTAATATGAATGATTATCTGAGAATGAAATAGTCTTCTAACTTGTCGGTTGACATATGCAAAACTACTCAAAAGAATCTGGAGGCTCGGGGAAAAAAGGGTGTATATCACTGCAGTTCAAAAGAAATATATTGTGGACACAATTGTAGGGCATATGTAACTTTATGTTTTCTAATAGCCACATTAAAAAGAAACAGGTGAGGGCTTCCCTGGTGGCGCAGTGGTTGAGAGTGCGCCTGCCGATGCAGGGGACACGGGTTCGTGCCCCTGTCTGGGAAGATCCCACATGCCGTGGAGCGGCTGGGCCCATGAGCCATGGCCGCTGAGCCTGCGCATCCGGAGCCTGTGCTCCGCAACGGGAGAGGCCACAACAGTGAGAGGCCCGCGTACCGAAAAAAAAAAAAAAAGAAACAGGTGAAATTAACTTTAATGTATTTTATTTTATTTTATTATTTTTTATGTTTTGGCTGTGCCACAAGGCATGAGGGATCTTAGTTCCCCGACCAGGGATCGAACCTGTGCCCCCTGCATTGGAAGCGCGGAGTCTTAACCACTGGATCCCAGGGAAGTCCTGGCATTGATAATATAGTGTTTAAAACTTGCACCATTATACTCTGGTTATGTCATATCATGGTGTGTTTTGACACAAATACCCAGGTGTGAACTCTGCCTTTACTGCTAGTTAACTTTGCTGGTGACTTAGGCAAGTGATTATGCTTCATCAAGCCTCAATTTTCTCATTTTAAAATTGGGATTTTATCAAAACTGACCTCATAGGACTCTTACGAGGATTAAATGAGGTAGTACGCAGAAGGGATTTCCCACAGTACCTGGCATATAGGTAACGTCAGCTGCTTAATATTATCCTTAACTGTTTTGTTCATTCAGTTTTGTACATTTGGAAACGGAAGCTTAAAACCCACAATAGTAAGTGTAAGCTGGGTGTAAACGCAAGACTGTCTTTCTCCTGAGCTGGTGGGTTTACCCACTGTGCTGTACTCCTTCTCGGAAGTGCTTGGTGAGTGACTCGGGATCTAGAGCTCTGCCATCATTCCTCCAGATACCCAGTGGAACAGGCCAGCTCAGCCTTTCTCTTGGTCCCTGAATGGAGAGAAGTGTCCTTGCTGGTTTTAGATGCCAGCTATGATCTAAACATAGGGAAGGGAAAAAAGGAAGGAGGGGTAGAGAGAGAACGGATTAAAAGAAAATAAGTTAAAAAAATTCTCATGAAACTTCCAGTGTGTTTTTTACCCCATGACAGCAATAGCACAGGTATAAAACAGTTGCTACACACCCCAGTGTTCATAGCAGCATTATTTACAGTTGTCAAGACATGGAAACAACCTAAGTGTCCATCACCAGATGAATGGATAAAGAAGATGTGGTATATGTACACAATGGAATACTACTCAGCCATAAAAAGGAATGAAAATTGACCATTTGCAGCAACATGGATGGACTTGGAGGGCATTTTGCTGAGTGAAATGTCAGACAGAAAGACAAATACTATAATATCACTTATATTGGAATCTAAAAGATACAACAAACTAGTGAATATAACGTAAAATAAGCAGAGTCACAGATACAGAGAACAAAGTAGTGGTACCTGTGCTGGGGGCAACATAGGGGTGCAGCAGTGGGAGGTACAGACCATTGGGTACCTCAGTACCCAGTAGTTTACCTCAGTACCCAACAGGCTCAAGGATGTATTGTACAACACGGAATATAGCCAATATTTTGTAACAACTGTAAATGGAAAGTAACCTTTAAAAATTGTGTAAAAATAAAAAATTAAAAAAACAAACAGTTTCTGCAAAAGTTCTTTATCTCTCATGGTACCTGAAAGCCCCCTGGCTTCAAGGATTCAGGTTCCTGGCTTGAAGTTGTTGTTCTTGATTTTCCCCTTAGAGTATCTTCGGAGTGTCTTGTATACGGCTCTCCAGATACAGGATAAAGTCCCAGGTCTTTAAATGACATGAATGAGATGAAATGAACGAAGGTCCTTTCTTAATCCAGCCTTTTTAACCCAGCTTTATTTGCCACAGTGCCCGCATACTTGTTTTGTGCTTGAGCTCTCTTAAAAATTACTTGTAGTTTTTCAGTGCTACCGTCTGCTTTCAACGTCACTGCCTTAACACATGCTGTTCACTCTCTCCCTTCGCTGCACTTAACACAGCCGTGTTGTAGCGCTTAACACATTTTGTTGTGATTGTGCCATATTGTAGTTATCGAATGCACTTGATCGAATGCACTTGCTGTTCACCTGTAATTGTTGATGTAGAGGGAGAGATTGGTTTAGGGAATTCCCTGGCGGTCCAGTGGTTAAAACTCTGTGCTCTTATTGCCAGTGGCCCAGGTTCAGCCCCTGGTCTGGGAACTAAGATCTCACAAGCCACATGGTGCGGCTCTCCCCCCCAAAAAGTTGGTTTAAATTTACTTGTATGGGGCTTCCCTGGTGGCGCAGTGGTTTAGAGTCTGCCTGGCAATGCAGGGGACGCGGGTTCGTACCCCGGTCCGGGAAGATCCCACATGCCGCGGAGCGGCTGGGCCCGTGAGCCATGGCCGCTGAGCCTGCGCATCCGGAGCCTGTGCTCCGCAACAGGAGAGGCCACAACAGTGAGAGGCCCGCGTACCGTTAAAAAAAAAAAAAAAAAAAAAAAATTTACTTGTATGGGGACTTCCCTGGTGTTTCAGTGGTTAAGACTCCACGCTTCCACTGCAGGAGGCGCGGGTTTGATCCCTGGTTCTGGGAACTAAGATCCTGCATGGAGCATGGCACAGCCAAAAAAAAGGCTAATTAAAAAAATTATTTGTATATATATTCTTTTATATGCATAGCCTACCTGGAAGAATATTCAGGAAACTAGTAGTAGTTGCCTTTGGGGCAAGGGCCTAGGTGTCCCTACAGTGTGTCCCCTTGTGTACCTTCTAAATTCTGAACCACATTCATCTGTTATTTAGTTAAAAGAAAATCTTAGGTATGGAAGATTAATTGATACTAGCTTTATTGAGCTTGTGTACTAATTGGTAATCCATTAATAGTCCTATATTAGTCAGGGTTCTTCAGAGAAACAAAACCAGTAGGAGACATAAGGAGATTTTTTTTACTGGCTCACATAATTATGGAGGCTGAGAAGTCCCACCACAATCTGCTGTGGCGAGCTGGAGACCCAGGAAAGCTGGTACTGAAATTCTAGTCCAGGTTCAGAGGTCTGGGAACCAGGGGGGCTGATGGTGTAAGTCCCAGTCCAAGGCTAGGAGAAGACCAGTGTTCCAGCTCAATCCGGCAGGCAGAACTAATCCTCCCTTCCTCCACTTTTTAGTCTGTCAGGCCCTCAGTAGACTGGATGATGCCCACCCACACTGGGGAGGGCTGTCTGCTTTACTGAGTCCACTGATTCGTTAGTCTCATCTAGAAACACGCCCACAGACACCGCAGAAAAAACGTTTAATCTGAACACCGTGTGGACCGATCAGGTTGCACATAAAACTAACTATCACAAGCCCTGAACAGAGATGAATAGAAATGTGTGAGGTGCAGTGATCATTTTGGTACAGATTTATCCCTGTTGGAATCACAGTCCTGAGTTTGTAATCTGGTTTGTGGCCCAAACGAGTGAATAACAATGCACTAGCTAACGCCTACTGAGTATATATTATGTGCTAGGCACTACTCTAAACACTTTAAGGGTGTTAATATTCCCACAACCTCTTGTGGCAGGTGCTATTCTTACTCTCATTTTACATACCAGGAAATGAGGGTTCAGGAGGATGACTTGTCCACAGAAGAACATGTGGTAGTGTTAGGATTCCAACCTGGACAGTTTGGCTCCAGACTGGCTCATAACCATTATTCTGCTTCTTGGATAGGGATTAGGGTGGAATTTGTACTCCGTGTAATATTATGATGTCAATAATTTGTTATATTTGCTGCAACAGTTGCTTAATGTGTAACTTCCAGTGTTTGTGCTGCTTTTATCAGATGTAGTCTGTTTAATACTTAATAAAAATTCACATTTTAAAATGCAGCTCAAGGAAGTATGAACATCTGTTTTCTTAGAATATGCTTATTGTTTAACAGGAATTTACCATGAGCAGATGAGAATAGAAAGGCAGATGATTTTATAGCCTCACCCCTGAGGTGAGATTAGGATATTTTAAGGGCCCATCTGCTCAGGGCTCTGAATGACTTAGGATTCTATCAAATTAGGAATTTACCAGTTTTAAGGTCGAGGCTTGTCTCAGTTTGGTGGAATAAGCCATGTGTGATATAAAGGTTAAATCAAGACTTTAAAGGCCTATTCCAGTTCTGAGATTCTGTGATTACCTGTTGGGTTAAAATATAGCTTTAAGTTATATGAGTACTTTTGTTTTTTTTTTGCGGTACGCGGGCCTCTCACCGTTGCGGCCCCTCCCGCTGTGGAGCACAGGCTCCGGACGCGCAGGCTCAGCGGTCATGGCTCACGGGGCCCAGCCGCTCTGCGGCATGTGGGATCTTCCTGGACCGGGGCACGAACCCGTGTCCCCTGCATCGGCAGGCGGACTCTCAACCACTGCGCCACCAGGGAAGCCCAGTATATGAGTACTATTAAGATTATATATAACTTTTCTTTTAGAAATATAACTAAAGCTTAAAAAAATAGTTCCATTTAATGTGCAACAATTCACTAACCTAGCAGTCGTTGTGTATTAAAATGTGTTGCATCCAAATTACTTATAATTGTTTGTGTGCATTTCTTTAAAAGGATTAGCCTGTACACTTTTAGAGTAGGGAGAGAACCTTGTTAAATAGTTTCCCATTAGAATGTTATCAATTTATATATGTGGAAGTCAAGAGATTTCAATTTACAGAGATTGATTTGCTTAGAGTCAAACAGATCATTAATGGCAAAGCTGGGCTTAGAAATTAGGTCTCTAGCCCCACACAGAATGGAACTTCTCTTTCTATTATATGGCCTCAGCTGTTTAAAAATTTGGTGGTTATTCAAACTTAACATTGTACTCAAATAGCATAACCTGCTTTGTCTGGGAATCTTTGGAAATAAGCATAAATAGTATCTGTTCTCATTTATCAAAAGTATCATTTAATGCTGTGGCCCAATCCCAAAGAGATAGCATATAAATTATATCAGACTTCCCTTTGATAAACATAACACTTAGAATTTCCCTGAATTTAGAAAATAATCAAGTAAATTCTCAAGCAATTTCTTCTAAAGTTTCTTAGTATTCTGAAATATCATTTGAAGATTATCTTTTGGCAAGAGAATTTAGTCCCCTTATGAATTATCTAACCTAGTCAATTGATGCTTTAAGAGGATAATTATAACGCCAGATACTACCAGATGAGTTTAGTAGCAGCCTGGTTGTAAATGAACATATGTATAGTATTTAATACTACTGTAGGAAGTAATGTTTATTAGGATCATGCCCAATGGTAATTGTGGAAAAGCTTGGTGTTTTCTGGTCCCAAAGCAAGAGTAACAATTTCTTATGTGTTTTTTCTCTTTTTAGACTTTTGATAAAATTCTTGTTGCTAATAGAGGAGAAATTGCATGTAGGGTGAGTGGAATTTTAATCTTATTTTCCATTTTACTCTGTGAATTTTATTATTATTAAATCCCTTTAAATATGAATTACTATTAATAGGTAACATTAATGTACTTTAATATAGGTTATTAAAACTTGCAAGAAGATGGGCATTAAGACGGTTGCCATCCACAGTGATGTTGATGCTAGTTCTGTAAGTATATTTGCTTTGTTTGAATCGGGACCTTATTTTGGATCAAATAGAAAAAAAGTGAAAGATGTAGGTTTTTTTTGTTGGCTTGAAAAGGTACACAATTAAAAAAAATACCTGTTTAATTACTCACTCTTGTATTAAGCAAAATGGGAGCATCATAATGTCTTCAATATGTATCTTAACTCTTTTATTTTCGAGGCTTTAAAAGCCTAGAATAGAATAAAAATTTGGTAAACTGATTCTGGTCACCAAGTACATTTAAGCAAAGCATGAGAAAGTTAGATTCAAAGATTAATGAAATGTGTTTTTTTAAAAAAATTTATTTTCTTTTATTTATTTTTGGCTGATTTGTGTCTTTGTTACTGAGTGCGGGCTTTCTTTAGTTGCAGCGAGCGGGGGCTACTCTGTTGTGGTGCGCGGGCTTCTCATTGCGGTGGCTTCTCTTGTTGCGGAGCATGGGCTCTAAGTGTGCAGGCTTCATTAGTTGTGGCTCATGGGCTCTAGAGCGCAGGCTGAGTAGTTGTGGTGCACGGGCTTAGTTGCTCCGTGGCATGTGGGATCTTTCCTGAACAGGGCTCGAACCCGGTCCCCTGCATCGGCAGGTGGATTCTTAACCACTGTGCCACCAGGGAAGCCCTAATGAAATGTTTATACAGTGCTGCCTTATGGGAGCACATTTCCGCACAGGATAACTCCACTGTCACTCGGGATGCTGTAATTGTTTAACCTTCCTAAATGCTTTACCATGTGCAGCTGAAAGTTTGATAAATCAAAGATAGGCTAATGCTAATTGGACATGAACAAAAGAAGGTATAGCGTAAAGCAGTGACTGATATATAATTTTATTGGGGATTTTTATCAAAACAGGCATTTTTAGCAGTAATAAACTATGAATGAGTAGAAAAAAATCCCATGGGAAAAGTGTATGAATTATTGGAACTGTATGACATGAAATGTAAGTAGTTGTACTTTGATATAAGTTACTGTTTTTCATTCTTTCACACAACTTCTGATAACAGGACCTATTGGTAATGTCAGCTTTTATCATATAGTAATTTAATGCAAAGAATTTTCAGTCTTTGTGATTTAAAAATTTTATCTAGAAGTATGTTGTTCCTGTTGTCTTATTGTGACTCTCTTCCTTTTTTAAAAAGCAAAATGGAAATGATTGCAAGCTACTCTAATTTCCCCAGAATAAAGGTTAAGTATTTATTTATTTGGCTAGTTTATTTGGCTGGTACATTTAAAATATTTATCCTTTACTTTAAAAGTAATTAAGCAGTTAAAAAAACTTGTTTTGCGTATGTACTGTTTGATTTGTTTTGAGTATTAGTTTCTGGCTTCTTTACTAATAATCTGTTTTAACTGTGATAGTTTCAGTAGTTTATATTCCTCACAAAATATTCATGAAATAATGAGAAAACTGTTGCTTTAATGTCATTCTTGATTGGTAAACTAAGGCATTTACCAATAGTAAAGCTACTTCAGAAAAAAGTTTGTGTTACTGTCAAGCCAGTAGTAGATTTAAAATTCACTCTTCTCATCTTGTGTTTATTTTTCAGTGTATTAGCTCAGGCTGTGTTTTCATTCATGGGTAAATTGAGAGAAAAATGTTTGAATTGTGGACAATCACTGTTTTTATTTCAAGCCTAACAACAAACTTTCACTTCTAATTTTTTTTTCATATCACAGTATATAGTTAATTCTCTATGCTGTGTTCTCATAGAGATGACTGTCGGCATATAGCCAAAATTATTTATATTTAAGCTTTTTCCTATTTGTTTATACTTCAGTGTGGTATTACAGAATAATCTACTTCTGTAAGCTGTTGCTCCAAAGAGCATGACTAACTTTTCTCACTGTTACATTTCTAGCTTTGTGGACAGTCACTTTCCAGACTTTGGCAAAACTGGTTTCAAAAGAGTTGGTTTGAGTTTTAAGTCTTTGTCATTTATCCTTCCTGAAGCAGAGGTGGTAGTTTTTATATTTTAAAGATTTTTAGCCACTTTTTTTTTTTTTTAACCAGAGATTATGACATAGTTTAAAATAAGATTTCAGGCCCCACGATGGGAAGCAAGCAGTGCATGCTCAGTCAAAACTTCCTCTTCATATGACCTCCTGTAAGTCGGTTTCTAGAAAGCTACTATAAGTAAAAGCAGGATAATAATGATGGTTAGAATGTTCAAAGTTTGATTTAAGCCTTAGAAATAGGGCCAGATTTGCTATTTGGTTTCTGCTTCAGCCTCAAGAAAGATAAAAAGGTGAATTCCTCTAACAGCATATTTTGCTTCTTTAACATGTGATCACAAAGGTTACCATCATATCTAATGAACTGTATAATATCGGTATTATGAACAAGGCATGCTATTCAGATGTATTATAAATGTTTCAATATTGATTTTCAAGAGGTGAGCATTTTCAGTGTTACTTGGAGTAAAAAAATCTTACATGCTTCATGTGTTAATTTCATAAATTGAAATGTAAATACTATTATAGTAGGAAAATACTGCAACAGTTGATTGTGAAAACTATTAATTTTATGTTAAAAACAACTAATTTTTAAGCAGTTAATCGGGAAGAAGACTAACAGTTATTACAACTATTAAGTGGTAAGTCACACAAAGAAGGAAAGCCAAGTAACTTGCAAACAGTGAATGTTGAATGGGAAAAAGTTGGCTTTTAAAGACCATTATGCAGTTTTCTTCCATGGCTCCCTTCCATTAAAATGGTGCATTCCCCCCCTTTTAAAATTAATTTTGGGGGGGTGAATCCACGTGCAGGTTTTGTCCCACAACAACCTCTCATGTTACTAACATTTTTGCATTCACCAGTGAAAATTGCCTGACACTGTGATTACTTTGGTTGCTTTTGTCATCTTTGCTGTCTTTTGAGGAATCTGTTGGGTCTACTGCTCCTTTTTGAATCTGCCTGGTTTTTTTTTTAAAGCACAGTTTATTTTTATTTTTGGCTGCGCCATGTGGCTTGCGGGATCTTAGTTCCCTGACCAGGGATTGAGCCCGTGCCCTTGGCAGTGAAAGTGCGGAGTACTAACCCCTGGACTGCCAGGAAATTCCCTGCCTGATTTTTGTATTGTCTTTTTTCTTAAGTATTTGAGTCCTTTCCTGTCTTATTTATAGCATACTTTTTTTTTTTATAGCATACTTATTTTAAAGGTTCTATCGTTTTGTTATTTTACTTCAAGATCTTATGTATCTATTTATATTTCTGACTCTTCCTCACAATGGATTGTTTCCTCACATGTGTAGATTTTGTCTTGTGACCTCATATTTGGTATCTTTATTGTTGAACTCCACATGGTTTGGGTTGTCCGGGGTATCACTGACTAATTTTTATATTAATTTCTTGGCGCGAAGGTTGCTGAATTATGAGGATGGGGCAAAACCAGATGAAACTACACACACACACACACACACACACACACACACACACACACACACACACACACACACACACACACACACACACACACACACACACACACACACACACAAAAACACACACACACACACACACACACACACACACACACACACACACACACACACACACACACACACACACACACACACAC